GTAAGGGCTTTGTTGGAGAGAGAGCGGACATTTTGGAGGCAAATTCAGATAGGTTTCCTGGTCGGGGGCAGTGATGGTACAGAAAGAATTTGGGGTCGTCTGGGAGAAATGACCGTGGTTTGAGGAGCAGGGAAAGTTGGAGAGAGTATGGATGAGGGAGGGGGAAGGGGTGTTTGCCTTTCGGAAGCGGTTGCTGCGGAGAGAGTGAGCGATGGGACAGTTGGTGTGGCTACTCTGGGACAACCAATGCCACGATGGGCCTGGTGGAGGATGCCCAGGCTGGAGTAGAGGGGAGTCCAGGAGAAAGTGAAGGCGTGGAGAGCAGTGTTAGAGAAGGACAGAGTGGAAGTAGCAGAGTGTGGGGCGTGGGAGCAGGAACATTTTCAGGTGGAGCGGCTCGGGGCAGAATTAACACTCAAGTCGCAAAACGTCATTTGTTGGTCAGCACATACAATACAAATTATATTTGTATAGTGCCTTTCACGTCGGGAGGACGTCCCAAGGCGCTGAAACAGGTTGGGAAAAGTTGCATGGAGTCCTGTAGAGTAGCGGTTAGAGTGCTTGCCTCGCAAGCGAGAGGACCTGGGTTCAATTCTCAGCCAGGGCAAAACCTTAGGCAAGTTTCCTTACTTTGCACACGCCTGTTTACCCAGCAGTAAGAAGGAACCCGGTTGTTAGTCAATTGTCAGATCGCTTTTTAGAGGGTAATAAACCCTTCAAAAAAAAAAAAAATGTGGTCACTCAATCCACGACTGTTTGAGGGATACTGCTGTGTGCAATTCATCCACAAAATATAGTCAGTTCACTTTACAGTATATTCTGTGAAGCGCTTTGTGACGTCTCGAAGATGTGATAAGGCGCTATATCAAATGCAAGGATTATTATTATTATCAAATACCCAAAGATAATTATTTGCTCAATTCAATTGTGGATGAGCTGATGAATCATGCAGTGGGCGGACAGAATTGAAATAATTTTGCTTCCCTTAACCAAAGGAAAAAGAGCCAGCATCTAATTCAGTGAACTTTGTTCAATAATTAGGACATTGGCTTAGAAAAGAGAACAAGACGTACAAAGAGAAATGTTATTGAAAGCGACAAACAAAATTCAAAAGTCAGAGAAAGGGAAAAGCCAAGTAAACTGAAGAAAAGTCAGAATATGTTGGAGAAGATATTCAATAAGTTGAAGTCACAAGAAGAGAAACTCTATAGCTCTATGAGAAAGAGAATGAGTTGAAGAGTTTATGAGAATAAATATCTAACATTTCAGAATTACGTCCTATAATCAATGGATATTATAAGTCTAATTACAATGATATATAATTTGTATACATTATGCACAATATTTAAAATCGTGAACGGTAAGAAACCTATGCAAAACTATTTGCAATAGGAAGCATAGCGGTAAACTCCATGAAATCAGAAAGGCTTTTCTGATTAGGCTTTTAATCTATTAAAGAATAGGCTTTACTTTAAACTAAATTAATATTAAATAGATCTGCTCAGCGATGGTAGCTTCTGATGTTAGTAAATATGGTGCTGAAATAGAAACCAGTAACATACATCGTGCTGGTATAATTTCTAGTAGTAAAGTACCAGTGAGACTCATATCCAGGTTATTTATAGAGGAACACTTTATATAAAGAGTTACTATATTTGGTTTCCAAAAGCAGTAGAAACTCGGGGCGTCCAACACACATGCTGTAATATATCCATATAGAGTTAGAGAATAAAACTAGAATAGTAGTAAAATAAAACTCAAAAAGGTCAGAGAATAAAGAAAATTGAAAGAAAAATGGGAGAGGGTGAATATTAAGTAAAACTTTTAAAAATATTTTTACATTGTCATTTTGTTTATTTATTGTAATAAGTTAAGGTTAATATTATATGAATTAGGCAATAATAATAATAGCATTTGATGCTTATATTCAACAGCTTTACTTCTAATCTGTACATCTGTAATGTTAGTTTTACTTCTAAGCTGTACATTTGTAATGTTAGCTCGGGTGAACATGCTTAACTATCCAATGCATGGGACGTTGTTGTTGTTGTAGTTTTGATAACCCAGTACATCAGATAAAAACTTACAGGAAAGCTCAGCTGATGGAGACAAGAAGTTCTGTAGACGTAGCAGGAGTCAAGGGGTTAACATCTGCATATCCATTTATTATATATTAATATCAATTTGCACTGTGTTTTATATTTTTTCTGCAGAAAAAGATGCAACTTTTCATAACTCTTCAGATTCCAATTTCCCACTACTATTTATTTCTCAGCGAAATAATGCTTTATTTTAACCACTGTTACTGAATATATTTGTAAGATATATTGCTACTTGAGAAGCGTGTTTTTTTTTGGTTAGCTTGCTTTTGCTCATTCTTTATAATTCTCTCAATGATCCTTCCAAGATTCTTACACTTTTAAACCACTTTTGGTAATGTATGCCGCACAATGGGTCTTGGCCCTTCACCTAGGTTTCTCAATAAAAAGGGTCCTGAGAGAAACAATGCTGGAACTAAAGGTTGTGGGCAATAGCCCCAGCCAGGATGTTAAAGACATCTGGCTCTTAGCAGATCGGAGAATCCAGCCATTATAAGTGAAGCCAATACAACTCAGATGGTTGTGGGTTGAATCCCAGGAGTTATTGTTACTAGTTACTCAAAGCTAGGCTCAGCTGGCACGAGTTTACAACTTCTGTCAAAGCATAAGGTGGAATGTCTCGTGATAATAGAAAGAAAACTATATTGTTCCTCTCATACTGCAAGCTGTTCGCAACGATGCATTTGGTAGTCAAGAAAAAGCTCTACTTTGGCCCACAGTCTCACAGCTGAATTAGGTAACAGAGCCAGACATTAAGAGGGTGCGGGCCATGGGGGAAGAGGGCTTGAATAGGGTAAATAAATAGGGAAAAAATGTTTTAGACAGTTTGAACACTATTACACTACTTTATAATGTAGGCATTGATCTGCTACACTTAAGTATACAAATGCACTATTGTGTTGTTGTGCAGGAGATGGGCTGAATGGTCCATGCTGTAATTTCAATCATTCTATGAAAGAAATAACAGGAATCTGCTGATGCTATAGGTGAATTCTGAGTATGTTGCTTGTCCCTCACAGCCTCATTTTAACATGGAGACTGAAGCATGAATGGAATCGGGCCATTGTAACTCACAAGTTCCCAGTGAGAAATTCTAATCCTGATGCTAGTAACTTGTACACAAATGCTCAAGCAATATAAAGGTTAATGGATGCTGCACAAATTATTCTGTAGAAAAATGACAACTTTTTCTAGCTTACTCTCATAAATAATATATTGCATTTGATATAGCGCCTCATCACGTCTTCTAGACGTCTCAAAGCGCTTCACAGAATATACTGTAAAGTGAAATAACTGTATATTTTGGGAGCGAACTTCCTGACTGACCCGTTCCATTCTGTGCTGGCAACCTCCACAATTAGTTTGACATTAACAACCTCCAACTGGTCAATGGTTTAACGACAATGTCAACTGTACTCGGGCGAGAAATCCACAAATAAATGAGTCAAAACTGCTGCAGTAAATAAGGAATGTTCATTGCACCCTCAGGGAATCATTAAAGTACAGATGTTCTGAGTTATGCAACTGTGTAAAACCACAGAACTCAATAGCACTATTAATATTTTAAATTAACATAGCAAAAGGTTATTAGACATAGCTTTTCATTTTATGTTAAAATTTGTGGAGAAAAATTGTGGCTTGTCCTCAGTACCAAGGGATTACACTGGGCTCGATTTTCTGCGTTGATTGAATTTTGGAATAGAGGAAATGTGGAAAATAACATCACTAATGTTGTGTAGCAAATGTGTTTAATGGTTTGAGAAGGCGTTTTACTACATGCAGCTAAAGTGTTTTAATCTAGAGGAATGCAGCCCTCATCAATGCTCAATACCGGTACACAAAAACAAGATTAACCGAATTCCATTAGGAAAGATGGATTGATAGATGTTTCTATGCTTATTATGAATGCTGAGGAGCCGTTTAAATTGTTTCCTAGGGGCTGTCTGTTTCAGCACAGACCAAAAAGGGACAAGTAAACGGGGAGCCCCATTTTTAAATTCAAATTTCATACTAAATCAAATGCACCATTAACACTACATAAAAGGTTTTGTTTGCAAAAACTATATTGCAGAAATACCTTTTACCATAAATAGATTTGAGCATAAGCATATTAATGGTGCATTGAAACAGTTTACATGGTATTACGAAAACAACTTGGATTTATATAGCGCCCTCTATGCTGGACGGCATCTCAGAGCGCTTCACAGTAATGGATCCCGGAGCCGAGTCAGAGGGAGGGGGAGGAAGGTGACCAAAGTCTTTTCAAAGAAAGGTTCAGAGTTAGGTGTGATCAATTGTATCTATCGCAATCCTAGCAATGATATAATCTAATATAGTATCTCAAGAAGAAATCTGTGGAAGCACAAGCTTCTAATCTGTTACAAGCAGTAGTTTTTCCAATTATCCTGTGTCTCCTGAAATTGTAGGTAGTCTATTCAGACTACTGCTCCACCTCTAAATAGCATTTTTTTTCTTTTTGCTTATGGATATGGGAAAGCAAATGATTTACATTGCACAGACCAGCGCTTTCTTTTGTATGCACTGAGCAATACATTTCTAATCCACTTTCTCTGAAAATAAAGAACTTGATCTGTAGAGCCTATGTGCACAGTCTTCTTCACGCAATGGCGCACGATTATCCAGTACTTTGAATATTATTCAAGTCCTTTGCTGTCTGGTTTTGCACAACATAGCAAATCGTTTCAGTACTTCTGAAAGAACCATAAGGGATCTCCAGTTTTACTCATTTTGTACAACATATTTTACAACTCTCAGCCGTGCACTTCACTTGCCAATGATCCCACTACACCTTCAATAGTGTGGGTTTAATATACATATTAAATACACACAAGACAAAAAATAAACAAGATTTTCAACAATAAAAATTCTCAACACAAATGGTTTGATTATACTTTTTTTTACTCGTTGAGTACAAAATATTTTGGTCATCCACTCCAAGGTCTTAACAAATGGAACATTAACAAGAAGAAACAGATAATAATGTACAGTATTATATTGCTCGTAGTTGCTTTCCTTGGGTGCTCATTATCAGCAAACATAATTTTCTCAATTAAATAGGATTTGGTAAAAAATAAAATACATTCATAGAATGAAAACTTTGTCCGTACTTAAAATTGAAAGTTATTACAGGCAAAAGCATGTTAACATTTTCCTCACCACTTCCCATTTACAACACAAACAACAGATATTTTAAGTACAGTAAAAAGTTGAAGACCATTTTAGTCTATCAATACTGACTTTACATGGTTCCCTTACATAAGAACTACATCAATGAATATAACTTAATTTATAATATACAATGTACATTATAGCTTATAACAATTTTATTGAACCAGAGTAGAAAGTTACCGCTTTGTCCTTTTTGCTGGTACTTCTGATTTCTGCTGCCCCCTTCTGCGTTCCACCGGACTAGTTTCACGTTTGCGACCTTGTTTAGTCACAGGACTTGGCTGACTCCTTGATCTGTGCAATAACAAAAAGAAGCAATTCAAACATGGGATCAAACTTGTCTTTTAGTCACCTTTTCGACCTCTCCAATGACCTGTTCACTTCCCTCCCCAGCTCCAACCCCCAAGCTTCAGATCATCCAGAACTCCACAGCATATATTCTCTCCTACACTAGATTCCGCAACCCCAATACCCCCAATCTCTGAACTCCCTTCCGACATCCCTCTGCCTCACAATATCTCTCCGCTTTAAAACCCATCGAAAGACATACTTCTTTGATTGTACCAAGATTTTTATTGTTTTAATAATGCATCTAGAAAAGAGATTATTATATTTGAGATAACCTCAAGCTTTATCATTTAAAAGACGCAGGAAAAAATGACTTGCATTTTGTAACTGGTGATAATGCTATTTATTCCAGGTTATACTGGTACTAGTTGGAAGCAATAGTAAACATTGCCAACATTGTGTGGATCTGTGGAAATAGCATCAACCCCGACTTCAAAAGAGCACTCTGCTGCACAATGTAGCAATGTTTCTGTTCTTTCCAACTGTAAAGCACATTTCTCAGGCCTGACATAAATGGACTAATGCTAGGGACTAACATGTCAAACTTAATTAACTCTTGACACCCGAGTTGTTTTATTAATTAGACTTTATCTTTTTGGTTTAACTTAATTCCAGGGGAAGTACAATAAATGCTAAGCAGAAAACCACATGCAATGCTTAGGGGGAGATATTTAGGGGGAGATATTTAGGTTTCAATTGCTGTGATTCCTTAATAATGATTTAAGAGTCTCAAATGGGGAGTCCTTCCAGCCTGACCAACAGGAACTCTGCTCCATCCCTGGGGCATTTCCACAGATCTGTGTGATGAACTTCCAATTGTTGAAAAGACTTTCTATTTGAGAATGAAAGTCATCAAGAAATCCTGTTATGAATCACTACAAATTAGGCTCAAAGGCAACGTTTCCTGCTAATAATCACCATCAAATGACCCCTGTTAAAAATGTGTGCGTATATTGGCAAGAATAGAGTTAGCTCTCGTGATCAGACATGAAATGCTCAAGTGTCTGGGCTCTTACACAAAGAATAGCCACTTTTAACTGGAGAGATGCTAACACTCTAGCACCAGACTGAGTACTGCCTTCAAACTGAGAACATTTAATATAACTTAAAATTTAAAAATGTTGTGGATGGTGCAGTGATAGCAATCAAACAGGTGATATTTACATGTAAACAGACCCCAACTGCTGCCCCAGCTAAAATCAGCTATCGCACAACAAAGATCAAATTGGAAACAAAATCCTATAAAGTAGCAAAAATAAATTAGTTTTAAGAACGTTTTGGGGGAAACAAAATGCCAACCAGGGCACGTCATTCTTATTTCCTAGGCCTTTGCCTGCATTAAATGACACCATGTCATGCAACATGAAATTAAAGATGAAATTGAGATGCACAATTATAACCTTTTCCTCTGTCATCTTACCTTGTAACTAAACCTATTACTGGAGATTTCCCAGGCTTTGAATCAGACGATGGCTTCTCTTTTGCTGAGGTTGCTGAACGTCTTTCTCGTTCAGATACTGCCAAATGCTCAGGGCTGCTTATTTTTTTGGCTGCTCGCGTAGTTGGTTTATTTTGAGCGTTCAAATCAGATGTCTGGCTTCTACAAAATGGGACAAAATATCAGAACTAAATGTACTGAACATGTAAGCATTGCATTCCTTCATAGTTAAGATTCCGAAAGCCAGGTACGACACTAGGTGAATGCACTGTAACTTTTGGTCACAGCACTTTTTTTTAAACCTTGTACTGTTACTGCCAAAATTCCAGCGGTAATTTGGACAACTATTGCCTTCATTACTGACTGTGATTAGATCTGTTTCTAAGGGATTACTCATGAATTTAACTGAAGGTTACTTGTGCATCTGAGCTTGAGATAGATTGGCTGGGTGAGACACACCTAAAGAGTACTTTTTGGAAGAAAAAATTAAAAACTTGCACAAGGGATATGGAATTGTTTGTAATGCATAGTGGATTCTGCCTGTTTTATTCAATTTTTAAATGTGAGAACTTGATATCCTCTAAATGATCATAATCAAACTTAGGATATCTTAAATGCAGGAATTAATGAAACAGCTCTTCTATGACTCAAACAAAGTATGATTTAAATTCAGTGTTAATGCATAGGTTTGACTTAGCTCAGAAGTACATCGTATGTACAATAGTTTATTTTTAGTGCAACTTTGTAAATAAGTATTAATAAATGTACACATGTATTGCTCACATTTTCCTTTATCCAAAATACATCACTATTGCACAAGTCCATATAATGGTCATAACCTGGGATCCTGTGCATTCTTCAACAGACGTTTTAAAAAAAGTACAAACTCTTTAAATTCCATTTGTATGGAATCACTGATATTGCAGGTAAAGAGGAAGGTTTCTAGGCGGGATTTAAAGACAGATCAAGAAGGAGCGAGTAGGAAGGGAATTTTAGAGATGGATCATAGAGATGGAGAGGTGCAAGCGGGGAAGGGATTTGTAGGTGAAGGTTAGGAAGTCAATCCGTTGGGAGCCTGGGAAGCTTGGAACGACGGACATTCAGAGTCAGTTCAGGATGTGAGCCAACATCCTTATGCTCAGCTAATAGCCTAAGATAGCTCAACTTAGGCTACTAGCTGAGTCTAAGGATTCTGAAACAAGGGACACTGATTGCGAGGAGAGTGTATGACGAATCAAATAGGGAGGTAACAAAGGCGTAAATGAGGCAGCATTTGGTGTGAGAACTTCTCAACTCATCCCTCCACAAGGTCTTGTGATGTGAACATAAATGCAGTTGAGCAATAATTGATTGCAAAGTAGGTTGCAGCATTTCAAAGCTTTAAGGCATCTTTAAGATACTAATAATAAAAGTTGTCCATTTAAAGTAGTAAGATAGTTTTACATTAGAAATTTACCTTGTTTTCTTTTCCTCTTGTTTTGAATGGGTTTTGCATCGAAGCTCTCTTGGTCTGAAATCTTCTTCAAGTTCACCTGCTTTTTTAACAGGTTCAGATTTACCTTTGTCCTTGGATGCAGATTTCTCTTCGAGCATCTTCTCTTCTCGTTTTGAAGAGCTTTTGCATCGAAGCTCTCTTGGTCTGAAATCATCTCGACTGGTGGCTGCTTTTTTAACAGGTTCAGATTTACCTTTGTCCTCAGATGCAGCTTTCTCCTCTTCAAGCTTCTTCTCTTCTCGTTTTGAAGAGGTTTTGCATCGAAGCTCTCTTGGTCTGAAATTTTCTTCTTGAACCATTACTGCTTTTTTAACTGGTTCAGATGTACCTTCGTCCTCTGATGCAGATTTCTCTTCAAGCACCTTTTCTTCTTGTTTTGAAGAGCTTTTGCATCGAAGCTCTCTTGGTCTGAAATGTTCTTGAATTTCACCTGCTTTTTTAACAGGTTCAAATTTACCTTCGCTCTCTGATACAGATTTCTCTCCAAGCATCTTTTCTTCTTGTTTTGAAGAGATTTTAGATCGAAGCTCTCTTGGTCTGAAACCTTCCTGATTCTTGACTGCTTTTTGAACAGCTTCAGATTTACCACTGTCCTCGGATTCAGATTTCTCCTCTTCAAGCACACACAAAAAAAACAAGCACAAGGAAAAAAATAAATCAATAATCCTTAGATTTGATATACCGCCTTTCATGTCAGGGGGGAATCTCAAAGAGTTTAATAATAATAATAATCCTTGCATTTGATATAGCGCTTTTCACGTCTTCTAGATGTCTCAAAACGCTTCACAGAATATACTGTAAAGTGAATTGACTGTATATTTGTGGGCTTCACAGGATGTCAAGTGTAATGACTGTGTACTTGCAGATGAATATGACAAACCAAATTACATTTGTAAAGCGCTGAACAGTCATGGATTAGGGCCTGAGCGGTGCGGTGAGTGGTTGGGATCAGGGAGGGTGGAGGGCAGAGAGGGTGGTTGAAGGCACAGTCGAAGAGGAGGGTCTTGAGGCATGCCTTGAAGGAGGTAAGGGTGGGAGTAAGGCAAAAGGAGTGTGGGATGGAGTTCCGAGGATGGGGGCAAAGAGGCTCAAGGCCCGACTGCCTTTGGTGGGTCGGGCCGGGCAGGGGACATGGAGCAGGCCAGAGCCTGCTGAGCGCAGGGAGCGGACAGGTTGATAAGGGGTTAGCAGGTTGGAGAGGTAGGACCCGACAAAGCCATGGAGGGCCTTAAAGGTGAGGACGCAAATTTTGAACTCGATCCTCTAGAGGGATGGGGAGCCAGTGGAGCCGGGCGAGGGCCGTGATGGGGTCACAGAGCCTGGTTCAGGAGGGGACACAAGCTTCAGAGGTCTGGATGATCTGCAGCTTGTGAAGGGAAGAGTTGGGAAGGCCGACAAGCAGGGCATTGGGATAGTCGAGCCTGGCTATAATGAAGGTTTTGGTGGGCTGAGGGCTGAAGGAGTGGCTGAGTTGGGCAATGTTGCAGAGGTGGGGGAAGGCACAGCAGGTCACTACATGGATGTGGGGGAGAAAGGACAGTTAAGGGTCGAACAAGGTGGCTAGGTTCCTCACTGGCTTAGTGAGGTGGAATGTGCATCCGTGAATGACCAACTTTATTTGGGGAATGATGACCAGGATATTCCCTTCACTTTTTTTGGAATAGTGCCATGGGATCTTTAATGTCCACCTGCACAACCAAACAGGACCTCAGTTTAACGTCATTTGAAGGATGGCACTTTCCACAATCCAACACACTCTCGGCACTGCATTACAATAATAATCCTGGTATTTGATATAGTGCCTTAAGATGTCAACTAGAAGTCTCAAAGCACTTCACATTATATACTGTGAAGTGTAGTGACTGTGTATTTTGTGTTCAAACAAAACAGCCATGGAGTTGATTCATTTGGGGGATCGTTGTCCAGGAAACTGGGAGAAATTCCCTTTCTTGGTTGGGAGTGTCAGCCTAACACTACGAGTTCAAAGTCCGATGTGGCACTCACAGCCACACTTTCTGATTCAGATGCAAGAGTGCTCCCAACTGAGGCAGACTTGTATATAAAATGTGCTTCCCTCTCTAGACAGAGCCAATGTGGATTGAACCCTTTGTACATACCCAAATCAAGGCGCCTCCTTTTGCAAGGGTTTTCAACTGGAGTGTATGGACGCTTAGGTTTTCTTTCTCTTCGAGCAGAACTTTGTTCTTCAGCATTTTCCACACGGTGTTCTTCCTACACGGGGAGGAAAGTTGACATCCATCACCTCATTAACAGCATTCTCGTTCTGAGAGGCTAGTCTTATGCCACAGTAACTTGCTTTGATTGAGAGAGCATTCTTCAGGATGAAGGGGGTCAATATAGGACCCCCCCCTCGCCCATTTTCTCTGACCACGATCATTAGCAAAAAAAAAAGGCCAATCATGGTCCATAAAAAAATTTGAACTCTGCGAATGCACAAAGTTTCTCACATGTGTATGGAGTTTCTAGGGACCCAATCAGCACATAAAGAACCTATTTCACATGCACAAATTCACAGGTTATTTTTTCTCTTTTATAATTCAAGTCTCCCAAGGTGTTACACGATATGATATTTTCAGACAGTGAAGGGTTAATGTCAGAAAGCAATAGAAAAAGGCAGTTTGAGAGAGTGTTAGAGGGAGAGAGAGGGTCAGTGAGAGAGTGAGCGGGAAAAGAGAGAGAAATTTGCAGAAACACTTCAGTAAAAAAAACTCAGCAATTAATTGCACGTGGGAGATATCTCACAGCAAGCTATGTTAATTCAAGGATATAACGAGAAAAGGTGCCTCACTGATGGGCAGAGTAACAGGAGCTTTTTGAAATTGGTTGAGTGCATGAACTGAGCTAAAGTGAAATGGAACAGATATACTTCTTTCTTGACAGTTGGTTAGGAGTAGACCAGAGTGAATGGTAAGCTACATACTGGAAGCTCAGCATTCAGCTTCACATCTTATCTCTGTTACTCACTAACAAAATCTCTGGGAAAACTGGGAAACAGAAAATGAAAATTGATCCATGCCATGATCTGCACAGTAAACTTCATCAGTGCTTATGGATTGAATCACTGCCAATTTACCAGCTTTCTGGAGGAACTGGATAATCAGTGTGGAGGACCGCTGCACCATTCAGAATCTCACTCAAGGAGCCTGGTGCAGTTTCAAAACTTTTGCACAATTTGAGGGGAGAGATAGATCAATTTATGCACATTCACAGTTGGATGAACCACATGCATGGATTTGAGATGAAGTTTTCACAAAGAGAACTGCACAAAGCAACATTTCCCAATTTCCAACATTCTACTTTTGTTAATGCATTTCCTGACTTTCTTGAAAATAAGACATTTTCACAAAATTCTGCAAAAATTGGCCTATTCTCCAGACTCTTTCAAGCTTTTAAAACTCAGAAAATAGATGTTGATTTGTTTGCATTTCCCGTCTCTGGGGAGGTGGAAAATGTTTTTATTCACTTCCAAATAGTTGATAAAACTGCAGTGCCACACTAAACTAAAAATAAATTTTCTGAAATTGGTTTGCCAGCATATTTTGAATACCTCCCAGTCAGATTTTTTCCAAACATTTTTCCAAACAGTTGCACCCACGTTTGGAAACACATACTTGTGTGAGCAACTGTCCTCAGAGATGAAATTCACAAAGTCTTCCTTGCGATTTATACTGACACACATGCACTTGAAGCCACTCCTAAAGGTGAACAGGCAATCAAACCTAACACTGATACTCTTGTGGTAAAGAGATGTCTGGATCTCTGGAGTTTCAACTTCTAAATAACAGGTGACACCATTTTATGTGTCTTGCTATTTCGCGAGTCTGCTCATAACACTGAGTTCTGCAGATTTGCGAGAGTGATTGCCACGTTCCTGCACACGATGCACAGATGCAGAAAGTAATGCCAGCTGCAGTTTTCTTCTTTACAGGAAACCAGCCTATCCGGCCATAGTCATCTGTTCACCCAGCCTCAAAGATCAAATGAAGTAAACATCCCCGCTTCAATGTTTCCTTCATTCACAGAGCAATGCAATAGCTAAAAGCTTTGCTATTGTATGAGCATAAGAAACATTATTTTGAAAACAAGTGTAAATGAAGATTCGACTCAAAATAATAATCAGCAACTGATTTCTCACCACAATACATGATTTTGAAAAAGATTTCATCTAACTATCACTTCAAACTATCAATTGCATTTTGTGATTTACTGTGGATCACTACACATTCAGTTTCTACAGTACTGGAGAGGAATTAAACAGAGGAACAAGTGGATTTCAATACAGAAGCACAGAAATTTATAGCACAGAAGTAGGCCATTCAGCCCATCATGTTTATGTTGGCTGTTTGAAAGAATGAACCATTTAGGCCGATTTGCTTGCCTTTCCCACCGTCTGGCAAATTACTCCTTTTTAGATTTCCATCCAATAATCTCTTGAAAGCACAATGCCAGTAACAGGAGAAAGGCGAAGGTTAAAATGGCAAAAATGAGTGCTTCTGCACTCGAATGGTGTATAGAGTTAAGTAATATGTACCTTGTACATGTGATGTGAGGTTAGCCATGTGCCAAATCTCTCAGGAAAGCTGGTCCTCACAATTATTCAATTACACCATTTTGCCCAGTTACAAATACTGTGCATTTAACATATTTTCAAATTGTTTTTTTAAAAAAGGTAGTCTTCACCTCCTTTTCTTCACACCCAAGCCTTGGTTCTCAACAACCTCAATCTAACACTTTCTGGAATTAGGTAAGCAACAACAACAACAACAAAATTACATTTATATAGCACTTCTCTCTTCGGGAGGACGTCCCAAGGCCCTGGACAATCAATGTTTCGGACCCGAGCTGGGGGTCAGGATCGGGGAGGGTGGAGAGCGGGATGTGGGTGGGGGGGAAGGAGGGTGATCGAAGGCACAGTCAAAGAGGAGGGTCTTGAGATAGGTCTTGAAGGAGGCAAGGGATGGGGCAAGGTGGAGGGACAGCAGGATGGAGTTCCTGAGGGTGGGAGCAGAGTGCCTGACAATAGTGGGAGGTGGGGATGTGAAGCAGGCCAGAGCCCACTGAGGATGGTAGGGAGTTAGGAGGTCGCAAAGTAGGTGGGGGAAGCAAGGCCATGGAGGGCTTTGAAGGTGAAGCAGGGTACCTCTCTCCAGGGAAAGTGTGCATTCAATTCCAGATGTACAAAATTTCCATCCATAGGTGACGTGCATATGTGGAACTCTCTTAAGTATGGTGATGGGCTTGCACATGTGTCAGCCATTCAGCCAGCTAAAAAAATACATTTTATATTGCGCCTTTACATTGGGAGGACGTCTAAAAGTGCTTGACACTCCTGGCGGGCACCCGAGCTGAGGATGAGGGGGTTGGGAGGTTAAAGATGACCACAAGCACTGTCAAAAAGGTATGTTTTTACCTGAGTCTTGAATGAGGGGAGATAGGGAGGGAGTCAGAAAGACTCCGGGATGGAGTTCCAAAGAGCAGGGGCAGATTGGCTGAAAGCCCACCAGCCGATGTTGGGGCGGGGAAATATGAAGCAGGCCAGTGTTCTTTGAGTGAGGGGAGTGATCTAATTGAATACATTGAGTGTGAATCACATTGCTATAAACAAATAAATATCTGATGTGAGGTTATGGTTATAGAGATCAAAAACATAAGGTATGAGTAATTCAATTTATTGATTTGTTTGGATGACTGGGCTTCATGCAGTGGTGGACTGTACTGTAATAGTTCCAACTTTTTTTTAAAACAACTCTGGTCCATGCCTAGCTAATTCCAGCTGAGCTAGAGAAGGAACAAGGCTACTTTGTTTCATAGTAAGTGCAGAGTCCCACTCCAAGGTCCTTGGCATAGTCATAGCAATAATGACTTGACACACAATCAATCATAATAAAACTGAAATAAATTGATTTTAACTGGGTAATTAATAACTGGAATAGATCACGTGGAAAGAGATTTAGAATTTGTATCGACTTTGGGGACTGGGTGGCACAATGTGCCAAACACATTACTTTCACCTCTTGAATTGAGTCCATATTAATTGAACGAGAAGTTTCTTATCCCACTGCTGGTTATAACAGGCCTGAATGAAAGAAGCAACTGCAACCTGGTTTAAGAGACCATACGCAGTACAATCTCATTTACAGAAGCCACAAGGACGACTAGTTGAGGAACACAGAAAATTTGCAATTGTAGAAGTTAATGTACTTAGTCCTTTCACGTTGTTTATTTAAATATACATTGGAAAGGTCCACACATTTTTTTTTGTACACATACACAACTCTACCCACAACTCCATCTTATTCTGAAATAACAGTATTGTTGGAGGAGTAATAGGTCTCAGAAACACTTTGGATCGATTGCTCGGCATTTTTCAGCACGGATAACTCTGAATAAACCATCATTGTTCACCAGCAATAAAATCTCTTTAGATTTGCCTGGCTGTAAAACGGATGTCTTCCAATTTCTGGTACTTCAATGTTTTTTGAAGACCTTACAACTTAATTACCTTGGATTGGGTCCAAAACCTGATTTGCTCACAAACATAACTGGAAATTGGTGAATAGCTCTTCGTTAATCCAGAATATCAGTCCTAAACTTTTTTGTTATCAGCAGGGTGTGTGATAAATGCGGAAAAACATTACCGTGCTTAAGCATATCCAGTTAGGGCTTTGGTTTGCAGGGTTAACCAAAGCTAAATTGGAAGAATCCGTCCTCTGGTGAGGTGCTTTGGTAAACCTAGTCCTGCCTTGCAACACTGTAGGCTCATCTGGTTCAGGAACTGCCACAGAGGTCTGAATCGATTCCGACATTCTGTTGTCAAGTATGTCACCTTGGAGCTAACTCAGCTCCAAGGAGACCTCACTTGCTCCAATTCCCGGTGCCCCCTCCCAATTCCAGGATAAACATTAATTGGTCAGTTGCCATCATACAAGTGCAGGTTTGAGCCCTCACGAGGAAGATAATAGGTACCAGGAACACCCTTAGCTTCCTGGTGAGCAGCACAGCTAAGCTCAGCAGATCACGTCCTTGATCAGCAGCTGCTTACCTCTCTGCATACCAATCTAGGTGTATTCCAAGCCCTAGATATATGAATAAGCGTTCACAAACCTGGACTGCAGGCAACACCTTCCAGCAGCTATCCTTCCAAGCTTCAGAGTTTCCTCATCAGCCATTTGACAGACACCTGCCTTCAGCGTGGTGGGAGGATCGATACAGGTCAACTTATGATGTGCCAGCCACTGTGATGTTCTAGCTTTACCAAAGCACCTCACTAGAGGACCTGGTTAAACATTTACTGATATACATTTTATACAAATACACTTACCACATCTTCAGGTTTCTTATCAGAACTGCCAATCTTGTTGACTTCAGAAACTGTATTCTGCTGAACCGGTAAATCATCTATTTGAATAGATAAAGAAATTGAGAATGTTTCTTATAAAGCAGCATAGAAGTTTTAAAAAATCATAGCAAATAAGAGTTATGAGCCAGTTTTGCCTTAGCATGTTTGAACAAAAATTAAAATCACACAAAACAATTGTCTACAGAATAATGCACACAAAATATTCATCAGTTGCAGAGTTCTCAAAGACTACTTTGCAAATACAGGGTGACAAAAAGGTCTATTTTTCAGCTATCCTACTATCTAAAAAAAACTCATCATTACTTTAAGACTTATTAGACATTGTAATGGTATCATGTCTTTTTGTTCATCCTGTATATAATGGCACGCAAAGCAAATTATTCCTGGCTAAACATGCTGCAATGGCATTACGGCAGTAAACCCATCAATAAGACAGCAGTGAGTATTGACAGTGTCAATGTAATACACTTCATAAATGTTAGAGCACACACTAAATACTATAGCTGGGAATGATTACCTTATCAAGAGGGTTAGATGCCACAATATGCAATCTTACAACAGTCACTGAAGACAGATAAAATTACAACTAATCTACGTGGTTATCTGTGCCTCGCATAGATAAGATGCCTGATATTAGCTAATTCAATTCCAATGTGCACTTTGGGTTCCCCAATGCCACGGCTTCTGATAATCCACGCACGTGTTCTTGCACACAAACAAAATAAAGTGTCCCCCATCTCCCTTTCACCCAGAGAAGATTTGGCTTTCCAAAAGCAGCAAATCGAAACTCTTTCAAATTCCTCCATGCCTGTTCCCCTTCCCCCCATTCTGTCTCTGCAACTTTACAGTTCTAATCACTTCCTCTGCTCAACAAACATTGACCAGCAACCTGTTTTATGCCCAACCCATTCCACCATTGACGGGCAAGCTTTTAGCCATTCTACCCCCACTCTCTGAGACCCATCCCTCCATATCTTCAAAACCACAATTAAGACGCATCTTCTTCCGACTATGATTTTGGCCCAATCCCCCCACCACCCATTCTTGTCACTATGTGCTACAAAATGGATAAGTGACTAATAACTGAATTGTTCCATTATAAGCACACATTCTCACTGTCACTACTTCAAACTGAAGATTACACCGATGCACAATATCTAATAATAATAATCTTGTATTTGATATCCCGCCTTTCACATGGGGAGGATGTCCCTAAGTGTTTCACGGGATATACTGTGAAGAGATTGTGTATTTGTGAGTGATTACGGCAGCCAATTTGTGCACATCACTTTCCCACAAACAGCCATGAAATACAGGACCAATTTTATTTGGGGTATTGTTGGTCAGGACATTGGGAAACGGATGGAATCCTTAACGTCCACCCATCATGAAAGTAACTATTGTACTTTTCCTCCCAGTTGATCAAGTGGGAAGTTTGCCAGTCAGTGCTTTCGATAGTAAGCAATGTGGTTTTAGTTAGTTAAACTCCATCAGTAACAGAACACTCTGAGATCACCAAGCATCGACTCTTGCCAACCTGCATCTAATACTCTCAGAATTAGGTTAGCAATTCCTTCTCTCCAGACATGGGAATTTCTATGTGTAGGTGGCATGCATGGACCTCTCAATCTGGTTTGGATACACTTAAACATGGCGTGCGTTTCCACGCGAGTCAGACACCCAGCTGACCAATCAAAAATAAAGCAACATTTTGGTAAAAGTTCGACTCAAGGCGTTACACTAAATCAAGTATTATTAATAAGCATTTTACAATCTCTTACCTTGAGTCTTTGCATTGGAAAGGTCAGTTTTGGTATCAGGTTCTTCAGTTTGTTGCTGTTCTTTTGAATGCTCTTTACACTTTTCTGTAGTCTGAAGCTCTTGCTGCTCTGAGGTCTCTACAGTAGGTTCAGTTAGTTTTTGGACAACAGAGGGTGCCTCATAGTTAAAATCATCATCGAGTGCTGGTGTAGTAGGGTCAAACTGTGCAATTCGCATAACAGGATTTGGAAGACTTGAATTATTCATACTGGGAATATCAGAAGAAATAGTCTCACAAGGACGAAGAGATCGAGGTGCACCAGAATCTTGAGGAATATTTAATTTCTTTGGCCTTGGTATATCATCGTGAGGTAATTTCTCCACTAGTTCTGGTTTGCCTGACAGGAGTGCTTCACAATCATCTGTTTTGTTTTGTGAAGTTTCAACATCTTGCTTACTTGCAGGTATTTCCTTTGCAGGGTTTTCTTCATTATCCTGAACTTCAGAGATTTCACCACTCTCTTCTATTAAAGCTTCCATCTTTATATTTTCTGAACCATGCTGTGTATTTTCGTTTGTATCTGGCAAACTTGCTTTCGACTCTGCTTCGAGTGAATTGTCTTGCGACTCTGCATCGGGTGAATTGTCTTTCGACTCAGCTTCGGGTGAATTGTCTTTCGACTCAGCTTCGAGTGAATTGTCTTTCGACTCAGCTTCGGGTGAATTGTCTTTCGACTCTGCATCGGGTGAATTGTCTTTCGACTCAGCTTCGAGTGAATTGTCTTTCGACTCAGCTTCGAGTGAATTGTCTTTCGACTCAGCTTCGGGTGAATTGTCTTTCGACTCAGCTTCGGGTGAATTGTCTTTCGACTCAGCTTCGGGTGAATTGTCTTTCGACTCAGCTTCGGGTGAATTTCCTTTCGACTCAGCTTCGGGTGAATTTCCTTTCGACTCAGCTTCGGGTGAACTGTCTTTCGACTCAGCTTCGGGTGAACTGTCTTTCGACTCAGCTTCGGGTGAATTGTCTTTCGACTCAGCTTCGGGTGAATTTCCTTTCGATTCTGCTTCGGGTGAATTTCCTTTCGATTCTGCTTCGGGTGAATTTCCTTTCGATTCTGCTTCGGGTGAATTTCCTTTCGACTCGGCTTCGGGTGTCTTTCCTTTCGATTCCGCTTCGGGTGAATTTCCTTTCGACTCAGCTTCGGGTGAATTTCCTTTCGACTCAGCTTCGGGTGAATTTCCTTTCGACTCAGCTTCGGGTGAATTTCCTTTCGACTCTGCTTCGGGTGAATTTCCTTTCGACTCAGCTTCGGGTGAATTTCCTTTCGACTCAGCTTCGGGTGAATTTCCTTTCGACTCAGCTTCGGGTGAACTTCCTTTCGACTCAGCTTCGGGTGAATTTCCTTTCGACTCAGCTTCGGGTGAATTGTCTTTCGACTCAGCTTCGGGTGAATTGTCTTTCGACTCAGCTTCGGGTGAATTGTCTTTCGACTCAGCTTCGGGTGAATTGTCTTTCGACTCAGCTTCGGGTGAATTGTCTTTCGACTCAGCTTCGGGTGAATTGTCTTTCGACTCAGCTTCGGGTGAATTGTCTTTCGACTCAGCTTCGGGTGAATTGTCTTTCGACTCAGCTTCGGGTGAATTGTTTTTCGACTCAGCTTCGGGTGAATTGTCTTTCGACTCAGCTTCGGGTGAATTGTCTTTCGACTCAGCTTCGGGTGAATTGTTTTTCGACTCAGCTTCGGGTGAATTGTCTTTCGACTCAGCTTCGGGTGAATTTTCTTTCGACTCAGCTTCGGGTGAATAGTCTTTCGACTCAGCTTCGGGTGAATTTTCTTTCGACTCAGCTTCGGGTGAATCTTCTTTCGACTCAGCTTCGGGTGAATTTTCTTTCGACTCAGCTTCGGGTGAATTTCCTTTCGACTCAGCTTCGGGCGAATTTTCTTTCGACTCAGCTTCGGGTGAATTTTCTTTCGACTCAGCTTCGGGTGAATTTTCTTTCGACTCAGCTTCGGGTGAATTTTGTTTCGACTCTGCTTCGGGTGAATTTTGTTTCGACTCTGCTTCGGGTGAATTTTGTTTCGACTCTGCTTCGGGTGAATTTTGTTTCGACTCGGCTTCGGGTGAATTTTCATTCGATTCTGTTTCAGGTGATTTTTCTTCCGACTCTGCTTTGGTTGAATTTTCATTCGATTCTGTTTCAGGTGATTTTTCTTCCGATTCTGTAATCGGTGAACTTTCTTTCGATTCTGTTTTAAGTGAATTTTCTTTAGATTCTGTGTCTGACAAATTTTCTTGAGCTTTGGGATCTGGCAAACTTGCTTTCAATACGGTATCCGGTACATTTTCTTTTGATTGTGTTTCTGGTAAATTTTCTTTTGAATCTGTATCCGGCAAATTTTCTTTCAATTTTGTTTCTGCCGAATTTTCTTCTGATTTTATATTTTGCAAACTTGCTTTTGCTTTTGGATCAGCTAAACTTTCTTTTGATTCCACATCTAGCAAATTATCAGTTGATTTTGTTTCTGGTGAATTTTCTTTTGATTTTGAAGCTGCGGAAGTTTCTTTTGACATTGTACCTGGTGAATTTTCTTCAGCTTCAGTATCTGGCAAACATTCTTTTGATTTTATGTCTGGGCAACCTTCTTTTGACATTGTATCTGGCAAATGTTCTTTTGATATTGGACCTGGCAAATTTTCTTCAGATTTTATTTCTAGTGAAATTTCTTTTGAGATTGTATCTGGCAAATGTTCTCTTGTTTTTTTATCAGATACATTTTCTTTTGATATTAGATCTGAGGAACTTTCTTTTCTTTTTGTATCTGGCAAATTTTCCTTTGACTTTGTATCTGGGGTACCTTCTTTTGATTTTATATCATGTGATTTTTCTTTAGATTTTGTACCGTGTGAGCTTTCTTTTGATTTTGTATCTTGTGAGTTTTCTTTTGATTTTGCATTTTGTGAACTCTTTGACTTTGTATCTTGTACAATTTCTTTTAGTTTGACATCTTGTAAGATTTCTTTCATAAGCTGAGAAGTTTCAGTATCATTTCCCCGTTTCTCTCCTTTTTCATCATATTGAATGTCTTCCTGTATATTTTTCTTCAATTTTGACTGTGAATGTTCAGAATCATTTTCTTTTTGCTTTTCGTTAACTTTTATATCTTCTACACTTTCCTTAGATTTTGACTTAGATTCAGATTCTTTTCTGTTACCTTTTGTATCTTGGACATTTTCCTTAAACTTTGATAGAGAGTTTTCAGGTTTGTTCCCTCTCTCGTTGTTTCGAATATCTTCTTGAACCTTTGTGTTAGATTTTAACCGAACATCTTCGGTTTCATCACGTTTTTCTTTCATTTTTTCCATGGTACGAGTATCTTCGTGTGCTTTTTCTTTAGATTTTGAACGAGACTTTTCATAATCGCTTCTTTTTTCTATTCCTTTCTCAGTACCCTGCATTTTTTCCTTGCATTTTAAGCGCGAGTTCTCCGAATATTCTTTGGGTTTTGAGCGAGAGCTCTCAGAATCGCGTCTCTTTTCTACTCTTTTCTCACTCTTGTGAACATCTTCCTGTACTTTTTCCTTGCATTTTGCCTGCATGTTTTCTGAGTGTTCCTTGGACTTCGATCGAGAGTTTTCAAAGTTGCGCCTCTTTTCGATTCCTTTCTCATTACCCTGAATATCTTCCTGTACCTTTTCCTTGGATCTTGACCGTGAATTTTCAAATTTCTGTCTTTTTTCTATTCCCTTCTCATTGCTCTTTGTGCCTTCCACACCTTCTTGCAAGTGTTCTTTTGATTTAGACCTAGAATTTTCAAAATTCTTTCTTTTATCTTTGCTTTTCGTACCTTCTTGTATAGTTTCCTTGGACTTTGAACGTGAATTTTCAGATTCATTTCTCCTTTCCTTGCTTTTCTCATTAACTTTAGTATCTTCCTGTATGATTTCCTTAGACTTCGATCGTGAATTTTCAGATCCATGCCTCCTTTCTTTGCTTTTCTCATTTCCTTTAGAATCTTCCTGCAAGTTTTCCTTAGATTTTGATCGTGAGTGTTCATATTCATTTCTCTTCTCCTTGTTTTTAGCATTGTCTAGTTTATGCTCCTTGGATTTTGACCGAGTGTATTCAGATTCATTCCTCTTTTCCTTACCTTTTTCATGACCTCTAGCATCTTCTTGCAAGTTTTCCTTGGATTTTGACCGACAGCGTTCAGACTCCCTTCTTTTTTCCTTACCTTTTTCATGTCCCTTATCATCTTGTACATTTTCCTTGGATTTTGACAAAGAATGCTCAGATTCTTTCTTTTTATCTTTGCCTTTTGTATTTTCCTGCATATTTTCTTTTGATTTTGATCTAGAATTTTCAGAGTTATTTCTCTTCTCTCCGCCTTTAATATCTTCCTGCGTGTTCTCCTTGGATTTTGAGTGTGAATGTTCAAATTCATGCCTCTTTTCTTTGCACTTCTCATGGCTTTTGTTATCTTGCTGTGAGTTTTCCTTGGATTTTGATCGCAGGTTTTCAGAATCATGTCTCTTTTCTTTTCCTTTCTCGATGCCTTTTTCTTCCTTTACTTTTGATAGTTCTCTAGACTTGGCATTTTTGCCATGCTCTGCTACAGGTAAGTCTTCACAAATGGTTGGAGAGACCACAGCTCTATCACCCTTCAACAGCATTAAGCGACTGCAATTGGACTTGGCTTTCTCCTCTGGAAAATCTCTCAACTTCTGATCAATGTCTGTGCAAGTATCTGCCTTTGAACCATTCTCAGATACCACAAGTTCACTATCATCAGTTTCTCTGACTTGCCTTCCTTCAGCTTTCTGCCTTGATAATTCTTTACTGCTGGCATCTGTATCCATTTCATAATCATTTATTTTAACCTTATCAACTTGAGTTGCTTTCAATACTTTCAGATCCGAATCCTGAGCTAAAGAGTTGCTTCTTAAATGTTTTTGGCAAGGTTCATGATGCACGTCTGGTTCATTTGTGCTGTCCTCATTTGACTGAATGGACTCTGAGCGTCCAACATGCTTTGATGGCAAATCTGTGAACTGTATACAGTTGGATTCCTTTGAAGTGGAGGATGGAGAAGCATTTTCCATGTCCTGAAAAAAAACTTTCGGTTAGGGCGTGTCTAAGTTCTCAGATACACAAGTAATTCATCCCTTTACAAATAGGTAGCCCATTTTCTAGATGTTACACAGAGTCCAGTTCTGTGAATATATGATGATATATCCAGGATGTGATATCTACCTTGATTTGTATGCAATTTTTTTCTGAAACTTCACATTTTCAACTGGTGGAACTATCACTCAGTGGGTAGGGATATATGTTTGAGTAATAGGTAGAAGGATGGCAGCAATAATCCCACATGCTTCATTCTGATCTGTGTTGGTCACCAAAAGGCTCCCAAGGAGTTCCTGATCCCTACTACCCACCTAGCCTGCGCTGGTCAGATGTTTAATGGCCAACTAGTGACTATCTGGGGTGGGGGGGAAGCAACGAAAGTATGTGATCTCCTTGGGGCCCAGATAGCTCCACAGTAATTACTTGGCTGTGAATTATTGGAATTGAATTAACATGTGGTCTTGACGGTATGGTTCCCGAACCAGGTGGATGTGCTGTAGACTTGGGGGAACAGACCAGTCAGCCATGGATTCTTCCTGCTTGGCTCCTGATAACCCTGCAAACTAAAGTGTGGAGTCCTGTAGTTCAGTGGTTACAGCACTCATAAGCGAGAGACCTGGGTTCGAAGTTTCCTTACTCCACCCGCCTGATAATAATCCCTCAAGAAAAAAAACAATAATAATTTGGTCACTTCAATCCACAACTGTTTGTGGGATACTGCTGTGTGTAATTGGCTGCCGCGTTTCACCCACAGAAATGCAGTCAATTCTGCTTTACAGTATATTCTGTGAAGCGCTTTGAGACGTCTAGAAGATGTGGAAAGCGCAATATCAAATTCAAGAATTATTATTATTATTATAAAGTACTAGCTAAAGCTAACGTTTCATTACCTTTTCTGTGATCAATTTAATAAGCGCCTCCTTCAATTCTTCAGGATGTTCACGCTTCCTTTTTCGATCTTCATGGTGCAAAGCAAATTCCTCGGATATATTTCTGAAAAACATGGAATTCTCAAATGCAATACATCATACATACACATACATACCACATTCGGTAAGTAAAGCCCACTTTAATTCACAAGTTAAAATAATTTTGATAATTTTCTAAACCAGGAAGAACTGCAGTAACTGACCTGGTTTATATGTACACACTGCCCAACCCTCATTAGAACATAAGTTGCTTATAATGTGATTGGGGCGTGGGCCAACATTTGTTACTAAAACAAAATGAAAATACGGGCAGAAAGCCAGCATGTTTTAAATAACCGGTTGGCATCTCATGCTTAAAAATGATCAACTTCTGGGTCATCAGGTCAGTGCTGATATCATTTTGGCGGTACTCCGGAAGCTATCCATTTTGATCTTTCCCACGCTGAAAAGAGGCTGACTTCTGGGTCCATCGTTGACAGCACTTCATTCTTGTTGGCAGAGATACAATTACCCAGATGTCTACTTTTTTTTTAGTGTAGGGAGCAGGTAGCCTTTTCCTCAAACTGTTTCAGCAAATAACGGTGCCATTGGGGTTGGTGGAAAAGGAGGCAATGTAAATGGTGCTTTGATGGAAGGAAATGCACCTCAGAACGTAAAGTCCATCTCCCACAGGGACATCATGTACATAACGGAAATTCAAGAGACTGCGGCTCTAAACTGATTCAGAGCCAAGGTCTTGTAAATTACCATTATGCACGTGGTGTTCTCTGCAACTTAAGCGCTCTGGTACACTTTCCTGTGTGAGCGGCGCTATATAAATGCAAGTTGTGGTTGTTGTTGTAAGTCCCAAATGCCTTTTCTGACATCAAGGCTCTCTTTCGACTGCTGCTTCACCAACAGGGACTGTTACAAGCAGAGTTGGACAACTAATTGATTAGCCGGGCAATATTTCTGTTATGGTTAACAGCTTGTCAGGACATGGAACTTATGTAGTCTATGCTGACACTCCAGTGCAGTGCTGGGCATGTTAAACTGAGGTCCGTTTGTCTGTTCAGGTGATCATTAAAGATTTCATAGCTGTATTTGAAAAGAGAAACGAGCTTCTCTCAGTATCCTCACCAACAATCCCGCAAATAAAGTTGGTTATTCATTTCCCACAAACAGCCAATGTTTGCCCACAAAATAATCAGTCGCCCAGTATATCCTGTGAAGCGCTTGAGATGCCCTCCCAATTTGAAAGGTATTATATTAAATATAAGGATTATTATTAACTATACCTTGAATGTCCTTTTTGTTTTTTTCTCAATGCCACTTTTTTCTCTAAGACTCTTTGTTCTTTCAACGTTGCTTTGCTTACTTTTGAAATTGAGGTTGCGGACTGCTGCATTTTCTTCAAACTGATTTCGATATCCAAACTACTTTCATTACCTGGAATGAAACCAGCAGGGAGGAGAGTTTGAAAATATAATTTAGATTCAACCTTTAGTCACGTTAAAATAATTATACCCATCAATAACATTACCAAATGTATTGCAATGGTACAAACCATATTTAGAAAAAATATAAAGTATTTGATGAATTTCAAACCATATATATATATACGCACACACACATATACACATGTCTCTAAAACGTAATGTTTTCTTTTTAGTTTGGTGTGCAGATGGGATGCATGGAACTCTAAGTTTGTTTTGGATACTCTTATGCATGGTGATGGGTTTCCGCATGCGTCTGACACGAAAACATTTTTTAGTTTGGGATATGCAAAACTGTAATCTTTAAAAAAGCCATGTTAGATAATCTTTCAGAAGCATTAACATGAATTGGGAGTGCACAATGAAGTGTAAAAATTAAAGCATGTCAACATTTGTGTTATTGGTTTTGCCACTTATGAGAATGGGGATCGAATTCTCAACCAAGGAAGCAGATAATTTGGTAAATTTGATAGGAGAAAATAACAATTAGAATACTAGGGAGAGGGGAACTGCACTCCAGCATGTACCTGTAAACTAGAAGAGGGTTAGTAATTTAACCTCAAGAGGACAAGCAGTTTCAGGGATTTCTGCGCTTCCTAGCTGTGTTTTTCTAAAATAATCAGCAAATGATGCTGAAAAATATCATGATGTGTTGAGTAATTGCTGGAACATTAGTTAGCAGGGAGAGCAGGAGCAGTGTGCAAAATGCCTCCTGCACACATGCAACATTAAAATAAAAGCAAATTTGTTTTAAATCAATCGCATTCCCTGTGAAACAGATATTACTATTGCATCTGAGAAACATGCTTGAACCGACTATTTAAAGGTTTGAGATCATTAAAAACATTTAAAACTTTATGGAAGTTTAAAAATGACCCCTTTTACGCAGCTTTCAGCTAAAGTTTGATTACCTTGTTCCAGTGTTTTGATACATTCGCTCTCTCTCTTCGTGTCATCTTGCAATCTGTCTTTATCAGTTTCTAGGTGTTTATCCTCCACCCTTTCCCTGTTCCACTGTCTCCTGAGTAACCGCTCTGCTTTCTCTTTTGCCTATGAACAAGAGATAGAAAGATCATAACTTCACCTCTTTAGAATTCAAGTCTAGTATGCTCATACAGTGATCTAATTGCACCCTCTACTAGTCAACGGATCAGACCAGTAGCTCTGCTTCACTGCTTTGTTACAAACTTAATCATTGGATTTAATATTCTTCCACAAATCTAACAATTTTAAGTAAATTGTTAAGAAATGAACACCAATTCAACCTCAGCCCTTTACCTAGGATTACATGACCTGAATTTAGCATCTATTCACTCCATCTCCAAATATCTGTTAGAAACCAAGAAATGTTAAGAATAACATGGTTGAAGCTTAAACATTTTATAACTGTCAGCAGAACCCAGAGATTAAATTGTAACCACTGACATAAAGAGAAATTGGAAGAATTATTAAACCTGGCATTATAAGAGGATTAATATACAATTTATAAATGCAATTAAATTTAACAGCATCTTTACTGATATTAATAAATTTCCCTCACACTGTTGGTAACTCCATCAAACCAATTCATTCTACCAATAAATTCAAAATGGCAAAGAATTTTGAAGTTAATTCTTCAGCTGCATTTCCTCTCAGCTCCCGCTCCTTAAATTCCAGATATCAATCTATTAACTATCAAACTCAAGGAAGTAAGGGTGGTCCAACCTTTTGGCTGCTGAGGGCCAGATGCCCTATTTGAACAATGTCTGTGAGCAGCATAAGCAATATTTTTGTGTTTTCCTTCCAGAAACATAACATCATATTTATGGGTTCAGGATGGAGTGGGTAGGCCAGATGAAATGGAGGGTGGGGGGAGTGGGGAGTAAAATCGGCTCGCAGCTGCCAGTTGGACCACCCTGATAATAATAATCCTTGCATTTGATATAGCACCTTATCACGTCTTCTAGACGTCTCAAAGCGCTTCACAGAATATACTGCAAATTTAATTGACTATATTTTTTGGGCAAAATATGGTAGCCAATTGCGCTCAGCAGTGTCCCACAAACAGTCGTGGATTTTGAGTGACCAAGTTATTATTATTATTTTTTTTTGAAGGGATTATTACCCAGGTAAAGTGATCCGCGAAACGACTAACAACTGGGTTCCTAATTCCTGCTAGGTAAACAGAGGCGTGTGGAGTAAGGAAGCTTGCCCAATGTTTCGCCCTGCTCAGGAATCAAACCCAGGTCCTCTCGCTTGCGAGGCAAGTGCTCTAACCACTAAACTACAGGACTCCACCATGTAAGTAAATGCAAATCGAAATATCACATATAATACAGGACCATCAAGTGAATGTTTTGATCTATAACTTACAACTGACTGTCGTCGCTGAACCACAGTTTCTTCATCATCTGAGTCACTGTAGTACTTTGAATATAGGAAAGGTTTATGGATATACGGATGGCGTGCAGGTTTTGCTTTATCCTCCTTATGATGTTCATCATTTGTTTTCAATGCCATGCTTTCTTTTCCTGGAAAAAGTACATTATTATCAACAATAAACTTCTCCTGTCTAATATACTATACCATAAGTTAAGCGTTCTGTCTCAAGCATTTGTTTTGCTCAATATAGTATGCTGCCCATATTATATATTCTGCCTCCTCCTCTTCAAAGGAGTAAAACGGAAGACACTTATTATATGTTGTATTATTGTGCTCTAAAGTACTGGTTATTGCAACATAAGAGACCTGTCCAAAATCTAGAGGCAGCTTAAAGGACAATATGAATGACATGCCCAGGTTAGAGGGATCAGCAATGAAAGATTAGATATGATGGGGCTCTTCACACTAAAAAGATGTGTCTCAGAGGGGATAATATAGTGGTACTGAGAAGTAGGGCGAGTATTCTGGATGGGCCGTAGGGTTATCTTCACCTGAACCTCTTTGGCGATCTTATGAACACTGGTTCACGCCAGTGTTTATAATCCACTCAATTCTCGACATATTCTTTACTCCCTTTAACACCCTTCTGTTCCCCTCTCCCCCATGTGAATATCTAGCTTCCTCTTGAATGCATCTATACTAACTGATTTAACCACTGTGTCAGGCAGCTAGTTTCTTACTACCATCTGTATGAAGTAGTTCCTCCTAAATTCTCTTTTATATCCCCTAGTCACTACACAACTATAGCCCCGAGTTCTGTTTTCTAAGTAGACAATTAAGAGCAGAATGTAAGTTTATGATGAAAGGTTAACCAATGCACTCTTATGTTTTAACTAAATTGTGCCTTAATCTAACACAAAATAACTGCTCCAGGGGGGAATTATTGGCAAGAGGAGCAGGCTCCAAGATGACATGCTTGGCAACAGAATATCGGAATTGAGTCAACCCTGTGGTGGTTTTAGCAATCTGGTTCCTGAGCCAGGCGGGTCTGTCGTACTCCAAGGCATTGCTGACAACACACCAGCAGCCTGGCTGATCAGCACAACTTGGAGGGGCAGACAATAGACTCCTGTTAACCCTGCAAGCCAAGCCCTAACAGGAAGTGCGGTCCTAGCTCTATAAGTGCAGGAAGATTGCTAAACAGTGCTCTCAATGCCAAGCTATGTGGTATCAGCTGGTTCAACTCCAGCAGCACCCCAATGAACACACTGGGGTCCCCAAGCCTTAGCTCTTGCCAACCTGTGGCTAATACTCTCTGCAAATAGGTATGCAGAGCATTGCCCTCCAGGGAGAGGGAGAACATCCCATTCCATACTCAGGGAGATTTCATGTATAGGTGACTTGCACATGTGAAACTCAGTCCGGTTTGGATACTCTGACATATGTGGAAACCCATCTCCATGCTTAAGATACCCGGTTGACCAAAACAAAAGTTATAACTGATTTTTGATTCAAACATTCTTGGCAGT